CGGCAGAGCTGCTCTCGGCGGGCCCCCCCAGCCCCTGCCGGGGCTTCCTCTGCTCCCCTCTGCAGCCTGTCCGGCTCCCTAGGAGGTGATTATTCCGCTTGCGGGGCCTTTTCAGCCCCATTGACGTGGACTCCTGGTACTAACTTTTTTAAAATCTGGTTTTAGTCACCGCAAAACGCACGGAAATGGCGGCACGCCGTAAGGCTCGCGGCGCCCCCTGGCGGCGGCGCTTGACCCTCCTCGCTTGCCGTAGAGCGAGCCCTGGAGAGGCGGGGCCTGTCGCCCGGAAGGGGGCGGGGGCGCATGCGCGTGGGGCCGTGGCTGGGCTGTGCAGGCGGCGCCGTCCGAGATGGTGGCCCAAGACGCTGTGGAAGCGGGCGGGAGGCGGCGCGGCCCGGCGGGGATTCCGGCTCCGTACGCGAGTGCGGGGGAGCTGCCTCCATTACCCGGGCCCGGAGGCTCCTGCTGGCCCCGGGCTTCCGTGCGGACGGGCCCCGTTCCCCGGCGCGGAGCTCGTTTGGGGGCGGCACGGAGGGGGTTACCGCGGGACTCAGCAAACGCCCCACACGAATCCGCCCTGTCCGCTGGGTTCGGGTGTCCCCTGTCTAGCGGCACCGGCCGTTTTCGTGCAGCTTTGTCTGCGCTTCGAGCAGCGCCGTCTTGCTGAGGGTCCCATCTGCAGCGGGATGGAGCTTTGGTGCCGGCCTGGGCGGCTGCGCTGATGCGACTCCTGTAGCAATGAGGGTTTTGCAGAGGGGTTTGACAGCTCTTGAGAGGCTGCTGGTGATTTTACAGAGGCCAGGGAACTGTCAGCTGAGCCTTCAGCTTTGCTTTTCATTTCATAACAGGGAAGACAGTCACACACTGGAGTTTATCTTTTTTTATTCTGTTTTCAAATTCCTTATGTGTTCTACTAGGTGATTTTTGTTTTCACGACACCAGCATATATAGCAGCCTGACTAGACAGTCTTCCAGGTGACAGCCAGCAAGCTACAGTAAGAAAGCGATGCATGAGGTTGCACCAGGATTTGGAGAAGAGAGGAAATGGCAAAAAAAAAAAAATGAGAAGAGAATCCAAGTTAGCATCACCAGTGGGTGATGTGCTCCTCAAAAATGAGCAAAGAAAACTGGGAAAAAACTGAGAAGGACTTACTGAAATGGTAGTATCAAAGATGTCTCTCCTTTGATCTCTGAAGTGTTCAGTATCTGCTTGAATTATCTTGGGACAGCTTTATTTTCAGGTCCATTATTGCAAAGAAAGCTTTGCAATAATGAAGCATCAGATCACAAAGCATCATGATGTCTCATCTTCATTGATTTGCATTTTCTGTTTTTGCAGGCTGAGGTGGAAGAAACACTGAAGCGAATTCAGAGCCAGAAGGGCGTGCAAGGAATAATTGTGGTTAATTCTGAAGGTATCACTCCAGCTGCAGTTTTTAAAATGCAGTTTATTCAGAGCATGTGCTTATGCTACTTGCATTTAGTTTAAATTTCTCTGCTTAGCAAAGGTTTTCTGGTAGCCAGTGCAAATTAACAATAATTGGTGCCTACAGGAGGAGGTTGAGTTCTCTTTCCTGTTTTTCTACCAGCTCATTTATGTTATTTAAAGAAATAAATTAGGCCCACACTGGAAAAGCTTTTAAGTGTCTTGAGTTTTCCCAGTGTTTGAGATTTGGTAGTCTGAGATTTCAGGCTCATCTTTTTGAGGTGTTTGCATTTTTATAGGTAGCACTAAAAGCTCTTATGAGGTCTAGAATCTTGCTGTGCTGCGTGTTGGGAGCGCTGCTGTCCTGGCAGAGACGAGTAGCAGGCAGCTGCCTCGTGCCCGTGGCCTCGCGGGGCTCTGCAGCTCTCTCTCTTTGAAGCCCCCATGGAGTCCAGCACAGTTAGGTGTGTTCAGAGTATTCCAGATTCTCTATCAGTTCTGTGGGCACCCCAGCTTTCTAAAATGGCCTGATTATCTTTTTGAATTGAGTGTTTCTTGGAAACAATCATTTAGAAAGATGCTGAATAGGTAGCAAGAGTACGTGACTATATTGAAGGCTACGGCCATTGTGTGCTTAGCTCAGTTCTATGTATTCAGCCTGTTTTCCTGTTCGTTGCTGTCACATAATGGTTTATAATGGTTGTGCCCTCCAGGCTCACAGTCACTTATTTGAGTATATACTTTTATCCTTTTTTCAGTCATGCCAGTATTTGGTTATAAGCTGCTTTACTGCTGCTTGACACAAACTGAACTTTGTCTGACTGCTGGGGCAAAAGTGCACCTGATGAATGGCAGAGGAATAAAGGGGGGAAGGCTCTGGCCAGACAGTGTCTGTGTAACTCCCCTCTTGGGGAGTGCACGGGGGCTGAACGGCATCAGCTGTTACAGCTACACGCACGAGCCTCAGCTCTGATGCAACAGCTCATGTCTGCTCTACTCAGCAGTGATCCCAACCCAGGTTACTTGGCTGTCATGTAACCGTGATATTCAGGAGACTTTCTGAAAGGAAGAGTCAGAAAAACAGAACTGGAACACTGATATTCCCGGTCTCCTCCCAAATACCTATTTTTGTTTTCACTTATATATATATATATATATATATAATGCATCTTATAAATGAATAGCTGAGAGGGTAAGGAGCTGACGCTACCAGACACGAGTAATTCTGCACATCCTATTTCTGTTCATGTTCTCCTATTAAGTCTTTTTAAAAGAGCACTCCTAATCCCATTCCCCAGGTGTTGCCATGATGTCTGCTTAGGTTAAATGGCCACCACAGTTGGACCTGATAATGAATTAGTCTGAGTGTTTCACCACTGACTCCTGTTGTCCCCACGGTGACTTCTTGCAGGCATTCCTATCAAAAGCACCATGGACAACTCCACAACGATTCAGTATGCGGGCCTAATGCACAGCTTCATCATGAAGGCAAGGAGCACCGTGCGGGACATCGACCCTCAGAACGACCTCACGTTCCTGCGGATCCGCTCCAAGAAAAATGAAATCATGGTCGCACCAGGTAAAAGTGAGTGGTGTGAACAGAGGCATCAACAATCTGGTAGATTTTTTTCATGTGAGATTTGTCACATTTGCTAATTGCATATTTTTTCAGGCTTGCACAATGTCTGTGCCAAAAGAAATGAGTCTGTGCTAAAAGAAATGAGTCTCTTCTGTTGTTTTTGTTTGTATTCTGTACTCTCCTTTTCCAAGGAGTTTGAGCTGTCTTCAGACAGCTGTCATCTTCAGAGATTAATCCTTTTATCATGGACCTAAGTTTGCTGCTTCATGTTCAAGTGTGGGAACTCATTTTCCTCCTTCCAGTATGATCAAAGTGGAAAACATTGAATAGCATTGGAGAGAGGCTTGCAGCCTTCTGTGTTTTGCGGGTTTCAGCATAAAGGCAGAAAAATCAGCAATTGATGTTTTGGGGACAGTTTCAGATCAGCACTCCGGGCAAAGCAGCAAATAAATTCTCAAGTTAAGAGGAGGGGAACACAGCACATTGCAGCTGCACTAATGAGTCTTAAAATGTAGCAGCAACAGCAACTTTCCCTTCAGGAAATGTTCTCTGTATTTCATAAAATTCTGGGAGTTAATGAGATGAGTACATTTCACTGATGTGGCAAACACTTTGATTTGTTCCTTCAGACCACATCAGATTTGTGCCAGGATTGTGCTAATGGGGAGGCAGAGGATAGGATTCCAGGCTCCTCAGGGCAGATATTGAGGAAGAAAAGCTTTTTGGTTAATGCTGATCTACATGTGAGAAATGAAAAGGGAGGAGCGAAGGTTGCTCCGGAACAAATGCAGCTGCAGCAGCTTCAGCCCGGCAGTCTGCCTGTGGGATGCAGGAAATCACTGTCTTGCACCACCTATTTTTGGCTCAGTCATTTCATGTGCCAGCAATGACTATGTCTTAAGGCACAAACTGAGCTGAATTTGATTGGTTTGGAAGCATGAAGTTTCATAGATTGAATCTTACCTCAGTAAAACTCAAGTGATTTGACATGTCAAAGTGATCTTACATGTCAAACCTCTTTTATTCATTGAAAGTGAAGGTGAGAACTCTACAATTCCTAAGGTGTATCAGTGAGGTATGGAAAAATGGTGAAGTTTACTGTTGCTAAATACAGATGTGTTTTTCTTGGTGAATAATTATCAGCAATGAAAAAATAACTTTTTTTTTTCCCTTGCAGATAAAGACTATTTCCTGATTGTCATCCAGAATCCAACTGAATGATTACACTAACTTGGTCTATTTTTTCCCTTTACCCAACTTTTTTAATTTAATAACAAAGAGTAGAGCACTAGTATTATCCCTGTTGTGCCACTTTGATAACGTCTGAGAGAACAAAAGCAGGGTTTTTTGTTACTTACAAAGAGAAAGTGGCTTTTTTTCCCCACCCCCCAGGTATCACAGAAGTCATTTTGAGGGAGATTCTCTGAATTAGAATCAGGTGGTATAGGCTGTCAAAAGTGTATCAGATACTTTTAATAGTTAATATAATATTCTAATAATGTTTGAAAAAAAGATTACTCTTTGTATGTTCCCTGTCACTCGTATTACTGCTATTTCAGGTATGCTTTTACACTATTGCTTTTGAATGGCTGTAAATATGAAACTTGTTTCTCTTTGTGTTCTCTCTTACTGTCTTGGTTTTACAAGTTCTTTTTTTTTTTTTTTTGAAAAAGTCTGGCCATATGAAATTAAAAAGTGTCATCAGTGATTGCTTTTGTCTTGTGCATTTTCCTTCTCTTGTGAATATATTAATGATTTTCTTTGAGTTTTTTTTTTCCTCAAAAAAAAAGAAACTTCCCAAGTGCAGTTTTTGGCTACCAGTCGCTTTCTGTAATTCTCTACACAGTTACATACCCAAAGCGAGTGTACTCTATACTTGTTACTGGCTGCCATGTTGGAACATCTTTCCACCACTTCCTTTTCAGACAGAAATGTAGAGCTGTGTTTATGCCAGAATAATGCCACCTTTACACTGCACTTCAAAGTTGATTCAGGTTTTAAAAAGAGGGAGAGTAATCAAGCTGAAGAGGCTTCCTTCCACTGGCATGGTTTTAGAAACACCTGGGGTGCCCTTCAGTGTTGTTTACCCCATAGGAACGCTGACCCTATGTAACACTTTATTGTTGATCCTGGGTCATGGTAGGACTGCTCTCCGGTGCTGGATTGATGTAACTGGATCCTCTGTACTCTTTAAACCTTCTCTTGATCTAGGGTTTTGGATCTGAAGTCAAGTAGATCTGAGAGTTGTATCAATGACATCAGAAAGAAAGGGAAGACAGATATTAGCATGTGTATGATTTTTCAGGAAGATGAGGCAGGAGAGAGAACCATATAAATCACTGGAGGTACTCTGCTGTATTAGCAGTAAACTTTCCTTAATGCATGTCCCATTTGTATAAATAAAATAATATGTTGGAGAGCTCCAGAGCTTCCATGAGTCAGTATCTTTTTCTTGCAGTCTATAAGTAGTGCTCTGTGGAGTTATGGCTGTAGTCCTGCAGCCCAATCTGCCTGTACAGGATTGGGGAATTAAATCACTATGTTAACAGAGTTCCTCATGCCTTTCATCAAAAACTGGTTAACACTGTATCTGTGTGACATAATAGTAATAAATATCTTTTGCCTGAGCATGCAGTGTATAGTTAATCAGCTTGACAGATCTAATTCAACTGTATTTACTTCACTTTTCCCTTTTCTATATAAAGGGACCTATATTGGAAATGAATTTGAACCCACATTTTGTCATGATGAACCTGCACTTTAGTTATAAAGGTGAATCTGAAGAGTTTACATTTGCTTTTCAGTATGCATACAATTCTTGATTGGTAAAAAAAAAATCCACTAAGTTAGCCTTGAAAGTGTAAAAAATATTTCCTTTTCAGATAAACTCTACAAGGAAAATAAAAAGTTTTAATTTTTTTTTTTTCGTTTGAATTGTGATGCTTTTAATAATTGGAACAGTCTTTTAGTAGATGCAAACTTTGGTGTCTGTCTTTACCAAATGTCAACTTGCTCTTTAACATTTTGTGATCACCCAGGTTTCATACTGATTCATTGTAAACAAAGTTTGCCTCAACAATACAGCTTTTGTCGCAGCATACATCTGGAAGGAACATTAAACACAGTTCTTCATGCAACCTTGTCATTCTATTTCTGCTGTTTTTGATGTATTTACAGTAGCTCTAGAAATAGCCTGTCCTATTTGTAGTTGCAGCAGACATTAAATGATGCAGCATCCAAGTGACAGGCATGATGGAGAGGAGCACACGGAGTCCTTAGGTGGGACAGGGGTGCCCCGCGCCCTGCAACTACCCTGTCATCTCAGCGAGGCTGGTCCATGGGTGGGTTTGTGTCCCGCAGCGGGATGCAGAGGCACCCCAGGGCTCAGCCCTGTCCAAGTGTCTCCCCAGCCTCGGGGCATCCGTGTTTCTCCTGGGCAGCAGCAGGGATGTATTGCAGGGAGCAGGATGGGATGGGATGGGATGTCCTGGCGCGAGATGGGATCCTGGGCAGGGCGTGGGGTGGTTGAGGCCGCTTGACGGCCGCCCCAAAACCCCGCAGTGCTGCCCTCCCTCTACA